AGGGGCACAGGGCACTGGCAGTGCCAGAGGGTTGGGGATCGGGAGTGAGGGGCACCAGCAGGGATGGGAAGGAGCTGCAGGCTGGGAGTGACGGGCACCGGCATGGCCCAGGGAGGCAGGGTACTGAGGTCTGGGAGTGAGGGACATTAGCAGGGCTGGGATGTGGCTTGGGAGTGAGGGGCAACAGAATGGGCAGGGCATCAGCATATCATTGCCTCCCTCACAGTCATATACCACCTCCTCCCCCATATGACAGGTGTCCTTTTTGGAACTCGAAATATTATAACCCTAAACTAAGGACAGGACTAGAGAAAACTGAGCAGAGACTGAAAGTGTACAGGGAAAATACATAAAATGGACAAGGCTGCTAGTGAAGGGGAATGAGAGGGAGGTGGGGGTAGTGCCAACTGGGTCAGTAGGTTAAGCAGGCTGAGAAAGGTTGAAGAAGAATGACTTGTGTTACATCTGGGAATTAAACACTGAATATTTTAATGCTTAGAGATCTGTAATTGTGAATCAACACTTGAAAAAACCTAGCAAGCAAGCTGCTTTACCTTGAATCTTTGTCTCTCTTGCTGTTCCTCCTTATTGCGAGCAAACCCTAAAACAAAAAGAAATCTAAACCAATCTGTGATGCATGTGCCTTTTTAGTACAGCAGGAATGCATATGTACCTTTAAAATAAGAGCCCACACATGCAGTAAAATCTTCTTTGGCACTGACAGGCATACGTCCAGTATAACAGCCCAATCCGCTCATACTACAAACATGCACTTTTCTTTCTGCACATGCTCTTACTGTTGCCGTACTGAGCATGTGCAAAGTGTGTGCACATGCCCATTAAATGAGTGAAGCCCCAGTGAAGCTGCTGCCCTTACCGTGCCCTTTGCTCTGAGTGCCGGCAGCGGCCTCCTCTCTGCAGAGCCCAGGACTGTTCGGCAGGTAGGCAGCAGCGAGGAAGGAACTGGCAAGGGAGGGGAGAGAGTAAGAAAGCTGACTACACTGAGCAATGTTGGCAAAATAAGGGTGGAGTATGGTAGTGAACAAGAGAAGACACAGAGGCAAAAGATGTGAAATTGAAATGCAATATAGAAGAAAATAGAAAGCCAGCAGAAAAAGTTCACTCATCATCATCATTTTAGCTAGTTACTTCCTAAGACACGATCAGCTACTTTTCCTACCATAAAAAGCAGATTTTTCAAGCAGATACAAACAAAACTAGGGAAATTCTGAATATTAATTTCTAGTTTATCGAACATTTTTTTACTAATATGACTTAATGATCATATGCAATTAAAGGTACATTCAAAGCAGATGCAATTTGGTTCTTCTCCCCTTAACTGTAAGATCTGGGGAACATTTCATAGGTTTCAACAAACAATAGAAGCTATAGGCACTAGGAGAACTAAAATATAAGAAATACAAAAATAGAAGTAGAAAATAAATATAAATATAATTACTAAAATAAATGAAATACAGAAAAAAATCTATATTTTTAAGACAGTGCACTGCAGTCAGAATTTGCTTGTAGAGAGAATGAAAGAGGAAAAACCAAGTGTAAAAGGATTATTTTTTGCACTTCACTTTTAAGGCTCCAATCCAACAAAGATTTATGAACACGCTTGATGGCCAGTACCATGGGACTCCTCATGCCCATTAAGTTAAATAACTACACAAGTTAATCAAAAGGAAGATGTGGGCTAAATCAGGAGAAACTTCCTCAGGGTGACAAGTACTAGAGCAATATCCTTCAGAGGAAAAGTATGTCACCCCATTGCCTTTCAAAATAAACAGGATAAACCACTTTTAAGACTATCCATTAGGTCATAAAGACACTGTTCAAGAGACAAGGATTTTTTGGTGATACCTTTTATTGGACCAACTGTATGGTTGGGAGAGCATCTATGTTACTACCAAATCCATATGATAGGCCGGGACTGTCCTCTCATTTGCACCAGAATAAGTCCACTGAATTCACAGGAAGTTACACCCTCCCCTCCCCCCCGTTTTTGTTTTTTTGGGCTTAAGAGCAAAGAAAATCCAGCCTATAATACAGTAACACGCAAATCAAGGGAGTATATCAGGCCCTTAAAATCAACAGGAGTGGCTAGGAGAGTTTAAATAGTTTTAATTAGAAAGAAATGGTTCTTAAAGTGTGCAACAAGAAGAGCACACACCAAATGCAGATGCTCTCTCAGCCTGATGAAGGGTATTATACCTGAAAGCTTGCAAAGAAAAAAATTTCCAACTATTTCAGTTGGTCTAATAAAAAAATACCAGATTTACCCAAAGAACCTTATCTGCCTATGTCCTTAAACCAATACAGCTACAACTATAGCACTGTGACAGATGTAGAGGGCCTTCACAAAGTGCTTAGCTATAGAAAAGAAAACCGATGCTTAGGGGAAAGTTACTGAATACCTCTCACAATTTTCAGTCACAGAGTTGCTTGTCAGCATACACATATATATTCTCTTACTATTAAAATACCCTCAAAGAAAAGATCCTATGCCTCACCTCCCATAAAAAGAATCAACACCTGATATCACTGTACTGAACACCTACCATTCATTCTCAGGGATGACAAGAGAAACTGAAAAATCTTATGGCATTGTCTTGCCCTGTTCCAGTCAAAAGTCCAAGGGACACCCCATAAACAAATTAAAGAACAACCAGCCTTAATACACAGTTATTCCCCTTCTCCAATATTTCAAAGGAGAAAGTTCACCAGACAAGGGGACTCTCAGTGCAAGTGTCAAAGTGCACAGACTTTAGAAAGATGGAGCTTATCCTAAGTCATAGTTACATTCAAGTTTGTGAAAGTAAGAAAAATCAAACCACGAAGCTAATATAAGGGCATGGGAAGCAGCTTCAGGGCAGCTACATGCTTTCCTCTGACTTATGACAGAGGAAAGCATGTAGACCTATGCTGAAGCTCTTATTGTATTCTGATCAACTGATCTTTGGACCTTATTCATATCTAAACCAACTCGGAGCAGACATATGTGCAAAAACATATATCATAGAAAAATGGGGCAGCAAGCACAGGACTGGGTCAGAAGTGATCGTATACCAGGCAGTTATTCTCCCCGACCTTGGGTGAATGGGGCCCCACACGCTGACAGATATGAAATCTTGCAATTATAGGCTCACACAGACACGCACACGATGATTAGTCTGCAAGGTGCGAATCTACCCGGCCTTCTACTTGACTTCAGACCGGGGTGGGCAAAATGGCCTGCGGGCAGGATGCGGCCCGCAAGCCATTCTATCTGGCCTGCAGGGCCCCTAAAAAAAAATTAGAAAAATCAATACTTATCTGCCCCTGGCTGCCTGTCATGCAGCCCTCGATGGCTTGTCAAAACTCAGTAAGCGGCCCTCTGCCCAAAATAATTGCCCACCCCTGCTTCAGACTAATGCGATGACCTACCTCTCCAAGTGCCCGTGACAGCATAGTAACACCTCCTCCTACCAATGACCCTACAACACCATTTGGTGGCCAAGAGGCCCTGGGACAAGCTACCTTGTTCATTACCTGCCCTCCTGAAGCAGCCAGAAGCAGCAGCTGATTCCTGGAAGAGGCTCTGGGAAACACCGCAGGCAGAACCCATGCCAGGAGCTGGGAAAAGCCCTGGTGCAGTAGTCTGTGCGCATCAGGGTTGTATGTAGACTTACACAGGGTTCAGTTTATGGTTGTACAGGGCAGTTCAGACAGCAATGACTCTGCCCCAAGCAGGGGCTGGACTAGAGACCTCTGAAGTTCTGCTCCCGCCTGGCTTCTCCATATCTACATGTTCACAAATGCACCTTAGGTACTGCAGTTTCCTTTAGTACTTCCTTAAGGTACTACTTGCACGGTACCTAGAGTAACACTTAACTCAGTGACGCCCACTGCACATCAGCCGAACAGCTCTGCACAGCAGGCGGTTAGCACGGTTTGTGCTGTGATCCGCAGTGTTATCAGGCTAGTACGCAGTTGGCAACACGTGTAGACGCACCCTCCCACCGGGGCCCTCCCCGCTGCCGCCACAGCCGGGTGCCCAGGGGGCGTGTCCGGCCCCGGGCGTCCCCGTGCGGCCTTGGCCCGCGCTGCCCTCGAGCCCGCGCTCCTCCCCACGCGCTCGGCGCCTCCGTAGCCAATCAGCGGCCACCGAGTGCTCCGGGCCACCGAGCCCCGGACCGGACCGGGCCGGACCGTACCTCACAGCCTGCCCGGCTCCCAGCTAACGGCTCCGGCGCATCCCACAGGACCGGCAGTCCCCAGCTGTCTCGGAGCTCCTGGCGCGGTTGCGTGCTCCGGACCAATCAAAGGCACCAACTTCCAGCAACCACCGAGGCGGCGCGGCCGGAAGGGACCTCAGTAGCGCCCTTCTAGCCCGCTCCCGCCTGCCTCTATGGTTCCGTTCCGCGAGCCCCGCCCCCTGGGGCTGGGACTCGCCTGTCCGGGGCGGCGGGTGGAAGGGCTGTTGTGGGGTTTCTGGCTCCCGCGTCTGTCCCGTTCCTACTGAGCGACGTCCTCGTCCTTCCCCAGGCTTCAATACACCGACCGCGGGCGGCAGTCACGGAAGCTGGGGGTTGGTTGTGGCCGTGCTGGAAGGGCTGTTGTGGGGTTTCTCGCTCCCGCGTCTGTCCCGTTCCTACTGAGCGGCGTCCTCGTCCTTCCCCAGGCTTCAATACCGCGGGCGGCAGGCACGGAAGCTGGGGGTTGGTTGTGGCCGTGCTGGAAGGGCTGTTGTGGGGTTTCTCGCTCCCGCGTCTGTCCCGTTCCTACTGAGCGGCGTCCTCGTCCTTCCCCAGGCTTCAATACCGCGGGCGGCAGGCACGGAAGCTGGGGGTTGGTTGTGGCCGTGCTGGAAGGGCTGTTGTGGGGTTTCTCGCTCCCGCGTCTGTCCCGTTCCTACTGAGCGGCGTCCTCGTCCTTCCCCAGGCTTCAATACCGCGGGCGGCAGGCACGGAAGCTGGGGGTTGGTTGTGGCCGTGCTGGTCTGCGGACATCGGCAAACAAGGCTCGTCCGTGGTATCTATGATGAGCGCAGCTGAGTAGCTGGGAAAAGTTGTAGGCCAACTTTGTGGCGCAGTCACTCTCTGTGCCCGAAGAAGGGTGACTGCACCCCAAAGTTGGCCTACAACTTTTTTCCCAGCGACTCAGTTGGCCTCGTATTAAAGATGTTGGCCACATACACACCATCAGCCATTGGAGGGAGATGCATAATGCTTAAGTGGCAAGGAGCTGGAGGTGTATTTAGGTAAAGTATTTTGAAACGAGAGGGAGTTAGACGTGTTAGTCGGAAGTCAGAAGGCAAGGGAGATGCACAACTTTATAGACTAATACATAAATAGGTGGGTGGGTAGGTGCAGACCGTTATAGATTAAAGTATCTACATGTCCCCTGTCTTTTGACTGACTATAGATTTAACACAGTTAACTAGTACACTGTATCTATCTTCTATCTATCTGTATGTGCATATATGCATAGAGAGAGGGATGGACAGAGCATAACCCTTCACAGGCTGAAGCTTCATCAGATGCTGTGAAGGACACGCACATCCTTTCATGTAATCTGATGTAGTGAACTTCAGTCCACAAAAGCCTGCGTGCTTTCTCTGTCTGTCTGTGTGTGTGTGTGTGTGTGTGTGTGTGTGCGTGCGTGCGTGCGTGCGCGCACGCACTTTAGTCTATAAACCTACATTTCTAGCCTGCCTTCTGGAGCACTTTGAGAGCTGCAGGTGAAAAACATGTAGCCATGCTTTTTCTCCTCTGGTTGTCTGATATGCATGTTACTTGAGGTTGTTTTTTTCGTTCAGCATACATTTGCTCTGGGTTAATTATATGAAAGGTGATGGTAGGTAGCGCATCCCTGTTTCTGATTTATGATTCTTGTATTGTGATATGATGATGCACTGATTCTTGCTAGCAATCACAAACCCTCAAATGCCACTGTTCAGCTATCTTGAAGAGGCAACGTAACCAACAATCAGTAATTTATGTGTTTGTTTCTTTTAATCCTCTTAGTTTGGCTGAAAGACTTATGCAACTGAATGAATGGTTAATGTAATGACATTGGCTATAGTTAGCGTTTATACTAAGATATTTACACAGGTGTACTTGGGAACAGCATGGCCTGTTAATACCTATTACACACTGAAGTTTTATCCAATATTTATGGAACTCTGTCTCCTGAATAAACATTCTGGTCATTAAAAACTACTTTTTCCAGAAGTTTCTTTGAACTTGCATACATCGCTCACCTAGGCAATGGATTTCTCTCCTTAAATACTAGCTTGCTAGTAAAGAGAGATTCCCTTGTCTCCTAGCATAGTGCCCCAGTTTTGAAATGCATTCCATGCAGACAGAGTCTGTGGAGCTTGCTGTAGGATCATGAAAGCCAATCTAGCTGCCTTCTTTCACTTGGCATTTCTGCATTTGCTTGCCTAAATGCTAAAGGAGAGTGCTTGCCTAAGCACATGTTGTTTCTTTTTTGCCCCACACTAATGCAACTTCTCTCCTTGCTTCAGAAATGCACAACACTTTCCTCTTGTATTCACCTGGGCCTATGCCACTATTCAAACAGTGCTTTTCCGCTAAGCCTACTCTACTTCCTTTATGCCATGTACCAGCTCATAATACTATTCTCTCTCACTCTTCCCAAGGCCTGTGGACTTTCTTAATCACAAACACATTTCTTTGCCTATCTTCTTGCTGATATCCTTGCCCTGTCCTTCACACCAAGCCTGCCTCACTGTTTTTGTCATCGCCCTAGCCCTTTCTCCAGCCTCCAGGTACTTTTCCTTGTTTCTCACCTATGTCCATACCATATGTCCCTGCCTCTGCCTTCCTACAGGCTCATGCTATTTACCTCTCCCAGCCAAACTGCTCCTTCCCTCCTCACACACATCCATAGGGGGAGGGGGTGGTATGTGCCTCCCCCCCAGAGATTGGCCAATGCTGGATTGTATGGGCTGTCGCCACTCACACAACCCTCCCCACAGCCACTGATACCACCACCGGCATCTGCAGGCGGTCCCCACTCACTGTCGCTGGCCCCCTGCCCCACTGCTGACACCACCGCCAGTGTCTTGGCCAGTCCCCACTCACCGCTCACCACCCACTACAAATAGTGCCCCACCCCCCAGTCTCTGGAGGCACCAGTCATTCATGACCACATCACTTTTCTACTATTTCCAAGGTCACGCCCCTTTTTCCCATTTTTGTCATACAGGCCTGCTGCTGCTTTTTGTTCCCCTCAACTTCTCTCCAACCTCAAGCCCTGAGACATAAGCTGATTTTCACTGTCCGAAACTTCTGACACCCAATTCTCTACCACCCCACTTCTTGGGGTAAGTCTCTTTCCCCATAGCTGACAGCAGAAATCTATATATCTCCTCTGTTTAGGTGTTGGTATGGTCTTTGCCACTTGGTTCTCAGTTCCTTCTCTCAACCCTCCTCAATGCAGTGGGCTTGGATCAATTAGCACCTGTCTGTAGCAGGGTACTAGGGTGCCTGCTACGGGCATCGGTAATAGGGCTTGGCTGCCAATCACTAGGGCAGCTCAGGTGATGGTTGCTGGGGCTACTGTGCTGGTCAGGTGACCAGAGGGGGGCAGGGCCGGGCCTTTATAAACAGCCCAGGCCAAAACCTAGCTGGCAGTTCCCTTTTGGCAGCTTGAGGTGCAGGAGGTCTGTAGTAGAGCTGAGCAGAGGGGAATAGCCTGACTGCCTGCATGATGATGCGGGGTAGAGAGAACCCTGGTAGGGAGGTACTGGAAGAGGGCCAGGGTGGCGGTGGATGTATGTTGTAGCCCCAAGGCTCATTTGGGTTACAGCTGGGTTGGCAGAGTTGTGTTAGAGCCAGGAGGCTTTATGTTATAGCCAGTTGGCTCAGGGTTGTATTTGTTTATGTTATACCGGAGGACCGGGTGAGGCTGTAGGGGTGTGAGGAGGCCTCATTAGGAGCTCCCCAGTGGAGTGGGGGTTCCTGGGTGCCCTGTTTGCACACAGAGCAGGGCCTGGGAGGCGCAGCTGTTTGGCGCTGACGTGGTGTGTGGGGGTTGAGACTCCAGCCCGTAAGGGCGGTATTTGGCCCAGTAAGGCAAAGGACTCTGAGAAGGGTTGAGGGGCAGGCACGGCCATGGGCCACCTGAGCCCTGATGTGAGAAGCGCGTATTGGGACAAGCCCCAGGGAGGGCAAGGGTGCGTGAGCATAGGGAGACAGGCCCAGTGGGGCGCTGCTTCTACATGAGAGGCCCCAGAGAAGAGTGAGTTTACTGAGGAGGCCCCAGAGAGGGCGAGGCATAAGCCCTGAAAGAGGGGGGAACCCCTACTAGGATGCCCTAGATGAGGCAAGTTTAGGGGGAAGCCCCATAAAGGGGGGGTGACGGTGAGTGTAAGAGTCCAGAGTAGGGCAAGCACGCGGTTAGAGGCCCGAGGCAGGGCCAGAGTGTGCGGTCAGGAGCCTGAAGAGGGTGATTACACTAGCCAAAGCCCGGAAGGGGCGAGACAGGGCTTGTGCAGCGAGCAACAGGGCCCCAGGTGAGAAGCGAGTACATTAGGCGTGCTAGGGGTAAGCGCGGGTACAAGCACGAGAGGTTAGGGAGTGTGGGATAGACCCCAAGAGCACAGGACAGAGCCCGGAGTGGGGCGAGTGCGGGGCAAGGCCCCCGGTGAGGGCGCGTGTATCAGAGACACGAGAACATCCAGAATAACTGCGAGGCTTGGGGCGTGCTAAAGGAGAGGTAGGAGGCACGTGTAGCCCATAAGGCTGGGGTGCACCATATCACTTACTGGTGAACAAGGGCCAGTACCAAGATAGCACTGTGCACAAAGGGGTCAGAAGGCAGCCTCCCACTGATAATCGTAAAATCAAAGACGTGGTGGGTGGGACGGAGGGTGCATTTAGGGCCCAGACTTGGCATGGTAGGGGCACCAGGGGGATCACGGCCGCCTCTGCGCCCTGTCCCGTGACACTGTCCAATAAGAAAAAAGGGGCAGGTTACACTCAAGCAGAGGACTATTAAAAGAGTTGCTGTTCATGTGCAGTAGCATTTAGAGGACAGGCAGTTGAAGGCTACTTCCTACATTGTCTCCAGAAGCTGTTGCCTCTACAACAATAGCATTTGAAGGCAAGAGGTGTTTCCCCTTCTCACTGAGTGCTGCCAGCTGCTTCTATGACTAGTTTTGCTGTATTTTCATCTGTTGCCAGCTGCTCCTGACTAGTGGAGATGCCAAACCTCCATGTGGCAAGGTGAGGCCATAAAAGCAGAGGAAGTCATGTGCTTGTTTCTGTCTGATGCAAATAACTTATGGTAGAGACAAGTATGTATTTATGGGTCTGCTTAGAACAGTTGTGTAAGTGTATGTCTGGGTCC